TGACTGACGTTGACTCTAACATAAGGGAGGTCTGTATAGGATAATTTCATTTTTAGGGAGGTACAAGTAAATTCTCAAACCACAAGGGAGGTCCCTGTAATTATGGCAAACCATAGGGGAAGTCCGTGTAAATTACCCTTAATTATATATATATCAATTTATCTACCAACACTTAATATATATTTAGTAAGTTAAATGTATGAATCAATTACAATGACACTACATGTGTATATATATATAAGACACTGCAATGCCAATACGCTATTAAATTCTATGCTAAATCAGTAACCACTATACACAAAGTTTGTGACGGCCCTGGTTTTTCAAGCCAGTGCGTCCTGTGATGACCCGAAGGATTATCCGATAATGGATCCTGAATGCGGAAGCGAAACAAAAACAAGGTCTCTAGGGACATACATCATCTCTAAGACACAAAAGTGACCTTCCATGAAGTCACGGAACTCAACGAGAACGAAAGCGAAAGTAAAAGTTGAAAATAGATTAACTATGGCCCCATGGGCAAAATGGTACTTTCACACAGAAAAAGAAGTCTCTAGGGATGCACGTCATCCCTAAGACACGAATGTGACTTTCCATTAAGCCACAGAACACAAAGAGACAAGATGCGGAAGCGACGTTTTAAAAATGGACAAATGCAACCCTAAGGGTAAAATGGTCTTTTCAAAACAAAAATGGGTACTACCGAGCACACCATTAAAAAGACAAAAATAAAAAATAAAGTTAGACTCAAGAATCGTCTGATTCGGAGTCTGGATGAAGAAGATGTGGCCATTTGAAAACGGAGTGTCAAGGCTGCCAAGGGGAAGGCACATAACGCTAACGAATTGGTGTACGCCACGCGCGCGCACAGCACCCTTGACAGCTGCCTTAAGGGCCTACATTGATTTTATGGGTTTCAAATGGAATTTTGAGGGCTTAAATGACATTTTTTAGAAAAAAAAAAAAAAAAAAAAAAAAAAATTGTGAAGTAACCCTCCCCCCAAAATCATGTTTTTTACATGACCATGTCAAGAGAAATTTTTATTTTTCAAGTAAACTACCCAAAATGCCCCTTAGATCAGACTTTTTCCTAAAAAAGTGCGTACACCAGAAAATCAGATTTGACGCGGGGTTTTGGAGACCGAGACGACATTTTTTTGAAAAATGTTGTGAAGAAACCCCCCTTAAAGTCACATTTTCTAAGTGACCATGTCAAGGCTGTAACTTATTTTTTAAAGAAAAAATCCCAAAATGCCCTTAAATCAGATTTTTCAATAAAAACGAAAAATGAGTCTTAAGGATGCTCATTTCATGAAAATGTGATATTGCGTACAAGGTGAGTATGTACACAAACATAATATACATATTTACACGCGTTCCGATGGCCTACCTCAACGAACGCTAAATACAAAATATCACATGTCAAATCTCAAAATTTAAAAATTTTCCTTAATAAGCAAAATATTAAACCAAAAGAATATAAGTGAAGGCAAAAGACGTTTTGACCCTTGGCCACATGTCATACATATTAAAAGAGTCCCAACAAGTGTGCTTATGCACACTTTACACATTTCGAACTAAAAATGACATGCCAAAACCTCTAATTTCATAATATTGCTTTTAAAAGTAAATTACAATACCAATGTGCATAAATATAAATGGAATTGTGTTTGCCCTTAGGCACACATTACATAATCCAAATTAAAAACGACATACTAAAACCTCAAGTTTCATAATATTTCCAAGTAAGGCATGAAGTAGAAATAACGTACATGTGATTCAAAGGTTCTCCTCATTACATACACATCAAATGAGTCTCAAAAGGTGCACTTAAGTGCACATTACAGAGTTCAAATAAAAGATACAAGTTTCGGCATATTAAACCAAAATAATGTAACAACATGCTAACAAAATGCATGTAACAAATACACCAAAATGCTCCAAGCTGCTAAACAAGTCTAAGGATGTTGTGCATCCCAAAATAGAGTTTCCATACCTGAAAAAGATCCCAAACAACTAGGGTGAGTAAACAAGTTACTCGTCGGAAATGAACATGCGTATAACCTAAAGTTTTAATGGTTTTGCAAGTTTAGTACAAATCGATCCATGTGGTTCATGCCACCTAACGTGTATGTCAAAGGTGAGATTAAGGGAGCATCCTAAGCTACCTTAAAGCATTTATAGCATAAACCACAATATTAGTGTTATTTAACACAATTGGGGAACTGAGTACACAACGACTAGTTATAACTCCATGATATTATCAACTTGAACTTAAAATACGAAATTAACAAGAAACAAGAAGTTATATCTATTTAATGATATCAAATTGGAAGTAAGGTACGAAGTTAACAAGAAACAACAAGTTACATCTATTTAGTGATATCAACTTGGAATTTAAGTACGAAGTTAACAAGAAACAAAAAGTTACAACTTCATATAGTTATCAACTTGAAACAAAAATACGAAATAAAACAAAGGTGGATACTTGGATATCAATCAGATCAGACCGACAGGTGGTTACTTTAGGGTTACTAGCGCACGGGTAACCTCCCTATGTGTGCACTAGACTGTAGGGGGAACTCTTATCCCCTATACTAGAGTCATACCCTAGCCATAGTCATAACAACGATATCCCAAATTTTCAAAATCAACAAATTGTGCAACAACGTATATATCATTTATACACAAGCTATAAGCCACATACCATGCACAAACAAGTTGGAATATACACAAGTCATGCCCTAAATTATCAACTAATGGCATACGAAATGTCATATATTCAATGTGCGATTCGTTACACATGGAAGGCATATAATGTCAAATCTTCAGTGTGCGATTCGTTATACATACAAGGCATACAAAATGTCGAATTTCAGTGTGCGATTCGTTACACGTATAAGGCATATATCATATAACATGTTAAATCATCTCGTCATCAAAGTAAGCTATGAATACTAAACCTACGACAATTTAGTAAAAAAACTTGCAAATCAACATGATTACCATTTTACAAGTTGTAGATTCATGATTTATGTATGAAAACAAAATCAAATATAAGACTAAATCATTGGAACAATTAAATAAAAATAATTAATTTTTCTAGATTTTAAAACTCATCCAAATAATTCCAAATTAATATATGTCAAAGACCATGCCATGGTTATTAAATATATCAAGTCAAATACCTAATTAAATCAATGGAACCACTAACTAGAAATTAATTAATTCATTTAATTAAAATTTCTAGATTTCAAAACTCTTCCAAATGGTCTCAAATTCATATATGCTAAAGACTAAGTCATTACCTAATTTAATTACATGCCTTAGGTTAATTTCATACAAGATACAACCATATAAATTAAATTTCATCCAAATATAACTATATACAAATTCTATATTTTATATTAAGACATGCATGCAAATTATATAAAACCCCAAAACACATAAAACACTAAGGGTATAAACATGAAAACATCCTCTATCTCAATTTGAGATGAAATCTCAAATAACTCCAAAATGAAACCTCTCCGAATCCGACGAAACTTCGGGGTTATGACGGGGACAACGATGGGAACAACAAACCCTCTTGCGGCAACACCCAAATCCAAATCCGATCTCAAACCCTAACCTCAAAAATGGTCAAAACCGGATTCTAAAAGAAAGGAAATGAAGGCCTCGTCATGGTCGACGATAAAGCCTTTATCGGCGAGGGAAGAATCAAAGGCTAAGGAGGTTATATGGAGGAAAGAAGGAGAAAGGAAGAGAAAGGGAGAGAGGGGCGTAGCTTCAACCATGAGGGAGAGAAAAGATGACTGAAAATTTATCTCTCCTTCCCCAATTTATATTATTTCCAAAAATAACCCCCGAATGGGCCCCGTGCGGTCCCGAAAAGTGAAATCTGCATATACGCGCTCAAACGGGAAAAGTCCGTGAACGAAAAAGAACCAACATGAGAAAAAATGGATAATGGAAGAAACTGCGTCAAAAATCAAGTCCCGATCAGAAAAGATATGCCTCGAATAAGTTCGGCGGCAACCGGGATCAAAAACCCTAAAATTGGGAAAAATGACCAGAAGGCAAATCTAAGAGTACGCAACTAGATGAAAAGTGAAAATGAATCCTGTACGAGGATCGAAGCCCAAAATGAAACACTTTTCACTAACTTTTGTAAATTACACAATGGCCCATACAAAAGGATAACTGCACGAATGACCCAAAATAAAAATATCTTCTAAAAGATACTTTCTTAAAAACCATCGCAATAAAATATCTTCAAAAAAACACTCCAAGAAAGAAGAACGTTTCTGAAGAAACTTTGTATCCATACCCCCACGGATAAAAGTAACCAACTAGGATGCTTTTCCGCAAAAGTAAATATACACATTTCATGGAAACCAAATGGAACGGATGTACGTGAAGTCGGAAGTCAAATCCGAGCCTGAAAAGTGGGGTTACGTGAAAGAAGTAACAAACGGGAAAAAGACGAAAAAAGAAAATGTCCAAAAAAGAAAAGAGGAAACGGCACAGTCTTCGCAAGGATTATACCAATCTTCTAAAAGAATAAGTGTCGAAAACTATTCTCGAGCACTCAGAAAGGAAAATATCAATGGAAAAAAAATATTTATCCGTAAAAACAGGGAAGAAAAAATGAAAAAAAATGATAGGGTCATTACAAAGTTCAAGCTATAAAATAAATTAAAAATTCATTTGCATACTTAGGAGTAAATACCTATTTCATGCCATATATGTTTATACTAAACATGCTCATGGATCCTAATTGCAGTGTATTAAAGCATGCCAATATATATATATATATAATAAGTTACGACTATATAAAAAAAAGATTAATCAATTTCTAACCTTATCCTGTAATTAATACTGTAATATATTAATACTGTAATATTCAATTACATATAAACTGCTTTACATTTCTAACCTTATCCTCCATTTGTGCGTGACCTTAGCCTAGGGCATCAGGCAGCTCCCACGTGTAAGGATTTGGCGCCAAAAATTCCCGCCTAAACAAAGCCTCTCTCTGGCAACTACTTGGGGGTGGTGTTTGTGCTATTGACGCCGCAATCTGGACAAAAGCTCTCCCTCACACACACAGAGGTTCATTCTCAGAAATGGCAGGGGAATCCTCAGACGGCGGGGAGCAAAACCCAACTCCATCGACACCCGATTCCCCCACCTCCGCCGGTTTCAACACCGATCAGCTTCCCTTCAACACCAGCCGCACCTCCGACAACAACTACACCGACGACGATGGTGACGATGACGAGGCTGCCGTCGATCCCCACATCATCGCAGACGATGACGTCCCGGTCGATGAAGAAGAAGAAGGCGAAGATCTCTTCAACGACAATTACATGGAGTAATCTTTGTCTCAATCTATGATTTATATGTGTTTGTGTTTATATATATATATATATATATATATTTAATATGATTTCTTCTATGTATTTGTGCAATTGTTTGTGCTGATTGGGGTTTTGGGTTTTGGTTGTTACTGTGAAATTGCAATCTATGAATTTATATGTGTGGGTATATATAATATGTTCTATGTATTTGTGAAATTGTTTATGCTGATTGGGGTTTTGGTTGTTGTTGTGACTTGGAAATTGTAGGGATTATCGGAGGATGGGCGAGCATGATCAGTATGAGTCGTTAGGGCTGGATGATTCCCTTGAAGACGAGAGGGATTTGGATCAGATCATGGCTGATCGGAGGGCTGCTGAGATCGAGCTTGAAGCGAGAGAAGGTCGCGTCTCACAGCGCAAGCTTCCCCAGCTTCTCCACGACCAAGGTGAAACCCTAGCCATTTATCAATTTCTCAATGCAATAATTTGAATTCTGCAAATATGATTGTCAATTGTATACATTGACTTTAGTGTTATCTTGTAGTTATGTTCCTTGAATATGTTTTATCATATCAGATAAAGTATTAGGCCTGATTTGTTAACTATGGGTCCCAATAAACTGACCAAATCAGTATCTAAAACCCAAATCTGTGAGAGCCAAATGTGATGATGCTTTTAAAAATTGACGATTAAATTAGTTACATGGCATATCTCATATATATTCCTATATGCCTATATATATGCGTTTACCTTAAGTGCTTTGTGACCTTTATGCAGTTCTTTTTAAGTTTTTAACTGCTTGATAGATCTTTTGCTTTCGGGTTCACTGTAATTTACCATTGTTGCAATGTCTTCTCTTAGACCCAAAATGTCCACTTTTTGAATACATATATATCTAGCTTGATCTTATCAATCTTTCCATAGCAACCGAAGTAGGTTACTAAGGGAGCGATAACAGGTGGTTGGTAGTTGCATTAAGAAATAGTATTATTGAGGTAAGCTTAGCTAACCATAATTTCTACATGCTGTATTCTCTATCATGGCTGAAACGATGATTTGGAATTCAGTGCATTTTTTGAGGTTGCCCGAAATTAGCTGTATATAGTTCTTAACTGTTAACAAACTCCATTAGTTTGCTTAAAAAATAATTCCTTATGATAACGATGACAATTGAGCAATGGGATGATAAAGTCTAAAATGCACGTCAAATTTATGTAAGGTTTTCTTGTTTCCATTGATACTATGAAAAGTATCTACTTGCAGTAGCTATGCCTTACAAGTTCCCCCACAAGCTCACACAGAAAAGAGAGAAAAAAGGAGAAAGTAAAATACAGAAATAAAGAACCAAAAAACAGAAGAACAACGAGATTACTGGGAAGTTATTTTGGTGGATGCTAGTATATTTGTATTCTCCAGGGCTATTGTTCTGTGAAGCTGTAAACTGGAAGCTGGGAAAACGTGTAATTATGCAGATTGATTACCAAATATGCAACAATCAGCTGTTGCAAATTAATTTCTTAAATATTTGAATCATTTTTGTTTTCTGGGAAGAAAATTATTATTTTTTTTTAAAAGAAAAAACTCTTTTATGAAATTAATTTTAGTTAATAATAATGACTCAATGAAGCTAAACGGTCATTATTAACATTTTAATTTTACAATTGTTTTTCATTTTGTTTATTGGGGGTACTGATAAGAACATCAAACAAACAGTACCTTTTCATTTTGTGAAAGATGCAACAAAGGGGTTTGAGTCTCTGCCTTACATTTGAAAAGGTGGGCTTGAAACAAAGGAACTAATTTTGCAGTTGTTTTGCTTATATATGTATGCACACATAGTAAAACAGGTGTGTGTGTGTGTGTGTGCATCATTCTACAAATTAGAACAGATCAAATTTTGTGGAATAGCTATAGTCTGTATCCAAGGTCCAAGATGCATGACATCTCCGATGAACATTAAAATCTGAACTTTAATTCACGTTTGTGTTTGTTAATTATGATTTGTGTCTAACTACAAATTCTATTGTTTCTTTCTATACTAAAATGTACTCATTGTTCACAATGGGATATAGAAGAAAAGTACTGAGGACATAATGATGCTCAACGTTATGATTTTGTTTGCAGATACTGATGATGACAACTATAGGCCTTCGAAAAGGACCAGAGCTGATTTTAGGCCTCCTGCCTCAGCAAGAAGCTATGACGATACCGATGCAATGCAAAGTTCACCTGGTAGATCACAACGAGGGCACTCAAGAGATGATGTGCCCATGACTGATCAGATGGACTATGATCCTTATGAGGTGTCAATTTTTTACTTAGCTCTGATCTTCAAAACATTCCATGGCATTGATAGTCCATTACATTAAACTTTAGGTTACATCATGGGAGAAAACTCCTAATTGATTGCCTTTTGTGCAGGATGAAAATGATGATGAGGGTGAGTTTGAGATGTATCGTGTCCAGGGAACACTTAGAGAGTGGGTTACTAGGGATGAAGTTCGCCGCTTCATTGCCAAGAAGTTCAAGGAATTTTTACTCACATACGTAAACCCAAAAAATGAGCACGGGGATTTTGAGTATGTGCGGCAAATAAATGAGATGGTATCAGGTAAGATATTTTGTTTTCTTGGCTTTTTTATGCTGTCTCTCTCTTTTTCTTTTGGGGGGTGGAACAGCTGGGGATTTTGCTACGTAATGCATGTAACTAGTCACTTGCTAAATGCATTAGTCTTTTGTGAAGCCCTAGTTTCTCTCTTTTGACAGTCAAAAAAAGAAAAAAAAAACAATTCATTTGTTTTGTGTGTTTATTGTCTTGACTCATTTTGGTTTGCAGTTAACAAGTGTAGCCTGGAGATTGATTACAAACAATTCATCTTTATCCATCCCAATATTGCGATCTGGCTGGCTGATGCACCGCAGTCTGTCCTTGAGGTTATGGAAGAAGTGGCCAACAAAGTTGTCTTTGAATTACATCCGAAGTACAAACAAATCCATCAAAAGATCTATGTTCGTATTACCAACTTACCAGTTTATGATCAGATACGCAACATAAGGTAACATTGACGATCTATTTCTCAAACGGAGTTGAGATTCTATAAATGTCTTTTGAAACTTACAGCCTTGCCTTGGTGCTTTTCAGGCAGATCCATTTAAACACCATGATTCGTATTGGGGGAGTTGTGACCCGACGTTCTGGAGTCTTCCCCCAGTTGCAGCAAGTAAAGTATGACTGCAACAAATGTGGGATGATCCTGGGGCCATTTTTCCAGAATTCCTATTCAGAGGTCAAGGTTGGCTCTTGCCCAGAGTGCCAGTCAAAAGGACCATTCACTGTTAATATTGAGCAGGTGAATTTTCTAATCTTATGTATTTTTCTGAAGCAGAAATTGAAGCTTTAGATATATGACTCACTCTTTGTCTTGCTGCAGACAATATACAGGAATTATCAAAAACTTACTCTCCAAGAGAGCCCTGGAATCGTGCCCGCAGGTCGACTTCCAAGATACAAGGAAGTGATACTCTTGAATGATTTAATTGACTGTGCTCGCCCTGGAGAAGAGATTGTAATATTCTCATCTTGACTCCTATATGTTTTCTAGTAACTTCATTTAAGGTTTACCCACCTGATATTTCTTTTCTATGTTTTATCTAATCCTTTTTAGGAGGTCACTGGCATTTACACGAACAATTTTGACTTATCTTTGAACACAAAGAATGGGTTTCCTGTCTTTGCCACTGTGGTTGAAGCAAATTATGTCACAAAGAAGCATGACCTCTTTTCAGCTTATAAACTCACCCAGGAGGACAAAGAAGAAATTGAGAAGTTGTCTAAAGATCCCAGGATTGGAGAAAGGGTAGTTTACTGAATACTTTTTTATCAACTATGCCCATGCTTATAGTTATGAAATTTCTTCCCAAAGTTTTTTTGATTAATTTTTTTCTGGTACATACTTTTGACCAAATTTCAAATTAATTTACTCTAATAATGAAACTTTATGTTGAAAAAATTGTGACTGAATTTTACAGATTGTCAAGTCAATTGCCCCATCCATCTATGGCCATGAGGACATAAAAACTGCAATTGCTCTGGCAATATTTGGAGGTCAAGAAAAAAATGTTGAAGGGAAGCACCGGTTGCGAGGAGACATAAATGTACTTCTTCTAGGTGATCCGGGCACAGCTAAATCACAGTTTCTCAAGTAAGAATTCCCAAATTAAATCCAAGACGTGTCTTATTTGGTTCCATAATGGTGATCAGTGTTATAATTACTTAAGTCTATTTTAAGGTATACTGAAAAGATTGGGCAGAGGGCTGTCTATACAACTGGGAAAGGAGCTTCTGCTGTAGGGCTTACAGCAGCGGTGCACAAGGATCCAGTCACACGGGAGTGGACACTTGAAGGAGGAGCCCTTGTTCTAGCTGATAAAGGAATCTGTCTTATTGATGAATTTGACAAGATGAACGATCAAGACAGGCAAGTAAAATTAGTAAATGGATGTGTGTTCCTTTGTACTATGTGTGTGGCTTTTTAAAACTTTATCAACTGGGCGTGGAATTATCCTTGCAGGGTAAGTATACATGAAGCAATGGAGCAGCAAAGTATTAGCATATCAAAGGCTGGAATTGTCACTTCTCTCCAAGCTCGTTGTTCTGTTATTGCTGCTGCAAATCCTATTGGAGGAAGGTATGCAAGAAAAAAAATCTGATTTAGTGAGGAAACAAAACTGTGGGTCTGTTTGCAATGTCCTGGATTGGTTTTGGCATTCTGATTCCGTACAAGGATTATCTAAGCAGTGACTACGCGGCTCTTAAATGTCTGTTTTATCATCTACTTTGTAGAATAGCATGCAAATTGTTTACCTGAACCTTGTTTTTCTTCTTTTAATGACATCTCACTAGTGACTTATGTGACTGACTGGTTTTCTTGTTTCAGATATGATTCCTCGAAGAATTTTTCACAAAATGTTGAGTTGACAGATCCTATTGTTTCTCGTTTTGATATCCTCTGTGTTGTTAAGGTTATTTTTCTGTATCAATATATGTTTCTTTCAGTTCTCATTACCATGATGTCTGTCTAATAAGGAAGGAAATTGGTTATTTACAGGATGTGGTTGATCCAGTCAAGGATGAGATGCTTGCAAAGTTTGTAGTTGATAGTCATTGTAAATCACAACCCAAAGGTGTTAATATAGATGATAAATCTATAAGCAATTCACGGGATGAAACTGAAGCCTTGGGCCCAAACACTGATCCCGAGGTCCCAGACTTGAGATCTTATCTCTCATTTGGTCACTTGTTAACATGCTTGAACTTGAATTTGTACTCCTAAACTCATCTAAAATTCTATTTGTCTCCTTAGATACTCCCTCAAGATATGCTAAAGAAGTACATAACTTATGCCAAGTTGAATGTATTCCCGAGATTGCATGATGCTGACCTGAACAAGCTCACACAAGTTTATGCTGAACTAAGGAGAGAATCTTCGGTAAGGATCTCTTTCTTCCTCGTTGATGGTTCAGTTATGGGTTAATTCAACACTTAGCTCGTGAAATATGACTTACCTGAATTTTGAGAATCTTTAGCATGGACAAGGAGTTCCTATAGCGGTCAGGCACATAGAGTCGATGATTCGGATGTCTGAAGCACATGCAAGAATGCACCTCAGACAGCATGTTGCTCAAGAAGATGTGGATATGGCAATTCGTGTCCTGCTTGACTCATTCATTTCAACCCAAAAATTTGGTGTTCAAAAAGCTTTACAAAAGGTACCAGAAGATCAGTACTTTGTCATTGTTTTATAGAATTTTTGTCATGTCCCTGCTGTGTATATTTTCTACACACACTAACACCAATGACTTGTTGGTAAAGGTGTGGGGTTGGCTCGGATGGTGGTTGAGGGTTCAAAACATGGATTGGGATCAACGGATTAAGAAAAAAAAAACTTTTATATCAGTGGGTTGTGCTTAACTGCTGCATGTTTGCTTTCAAATTTTGCATAATTTTTTCAAGTTGCTGTTACTACAAGATGCTTTATAGTACACGTAACAATCTCATCTTGTGAGATGGCTGTGGAAATTTAAATAATTAAAAGCTCAAGTATATATATAAATAGGATTTTATCATACAACTCTTTTGCAAGTGTTTGGATTCGACGGCTGTTATTAGTACTAATCTTCAGCCTACTTTCATGGCAGAAGTAGCGATGTATTTAAGAACAACCTTATAAGATTATATGGGTTTTGCAAGCTGACTTGCGAGCAATGGTTGTGCTAGTTATGTGGACTCATTTATTTGCAAGTTCTTTAAATTATTTGCCCTTTTGAGCTAAATTTCATTTCTTGATACTCTTTAAGAATTTTTCCTAGCTTAAAAGTATAAGAGCTTTCTGAGACTGATTCAATATAATTAGCATAGCTCAAATTGATTTTTTTCACAATTTCTAAAATGCTATTCCTGATTTTAAGAGTTCTCCTAGCTTAAAACTAAACCATCATTACGAATCGTAACTGGACTTGTTCATATCTGGATAATAAGAGTATGTGCATTTCCTATAAATCATAACGAGAATCTTCAAACTTTCATGCAAAATGATTAAGTGTTCACAGTTTACTTTGGGGAAAAGTGGGGGTTGACATCCATTTGGGAATCCTGATGCAGAGTTTCAGAAAGTACATGGCTTTCAAGAAAGATCACAACGAGTTAGTCCTCCATCTTCTTCGTGGGCTTGTGAAGGACGCTCTACACTTCGAAGAAATCATGTCTGGCTCCATTTCAGATCTCAACCGTATTGATGTGAAAGTGGATGATTTGCGGAACAAGGTAATTTATGCTTGCATTTCGTTTATTACTTGGTGACTGAGCTGCATGGTATCCTGATATATATAACTTTTGGCGACGGAATTTTTTTTCATGCAGGCACTGGATTATGAAATCAATGACCTGCAACCATTCTTTTCCAGTACTCTCTTCTCGAGAGCCAACTTTGAGCTGGATGAAGAGAGGGGAGTTATAAGGCATCACCTTGCAAGATAAAGGCTAGCATTAGGAACAAAGGGCTTGTAATGGCAGGTTAATTATTTATGTAATCTTGCATCAAACTACTCAGCAAATGATGTTTGAAGATCATTTAAGTAATGTGCTAACTTTATTTGGTTATCTGATTGATGTGTTTTGGCTGATCATGAAGTTAATAGAGAATTTAGTTACTGAGATAAATACAAAAGTGAAGTTTGGTTTATAATGTTTTGGGTTTTATTTTGGGTGATAGAAGATTATGAACCCATCACTAAAGCAGCTATAAGATAAATTTAGTATTGTTTTACAAGTTATTTTACTAGTTTGTGTGACAAACTTCAAAATGCTAGAAATTATTAAATTGAGCAACATAAAATTATTGAATTGAAAGGGAAAAAAAAAAAAAAAAAAAAAAAAAAATTTGGGGCATCGTATATCTGTGCATTATTCAAGTTATGTTGAAAAGAAAGGCTTTTATATTTGTTATTAAAGTGTAAAACACAATGTTTGGGTGTAAGTTAAACAAAATGAAATAATTGATGGGAAATGATTCTTCCAGTAAATATTATGCAACAAATAAAGAAATGGACTCTTTTGTTTACTTGTATTTAGTATATAGTATAACTTGTATTTAGTATATAGTATAAATAGTCAATTAAAAATTATTCAATTCAAGGCAATTTACTGGAAGTGTTCGGTGTGAGTATCACTACTCGTGTTCGGTGTGAGTATCACTACTCATAATTGACATTAGCCTGAACCTCAAATTCTTGACTCATGAAGTTATGCCAGAACCTTCATATTAGCGAAAGGTGCAATTCGAATACACACACTGATGCAGATAGATATTGAAAAAGCTACACTGAGAAGTAATTCACTCTAATTGGAGCGTTTCAATGACAAGTGGGACTATTTGTTTTAAAATCCCAACTGGAGTTTGTAAATTGAAATCCGAGTTTCATAACAAGTTCACTAAACAGACAAATGATTTGACAATGTAATAAGATTTGTGTTCCCTAAATTCACTCCTCCACTCCACTCCTCCCAAGAAGCAATAAACTAAAAATGCAATTCAATTCAATCTGATTTACCTACAACTGAGGAGATGTGCCTGTCTGCTTCTTGAAACATACCATTCCATCTTGAACTCAGATGGTATCTTCTGGACTCATCTCAAGCGCTGATTTTTAAGGCCTCGATGGTATAATTATGCAAGCAACTGTAAAATGAAAACAAGAACAACTAGAAATCCCCACAAGAGCAAGCTCCATCCTTAAAATGGTGGAAACAACTTGGATCCTTTATTATGATTTCTCGGCCTACTAGTTTAGAGATGACCTTCACTGAAGCATGGCAGCTGCGACAAACGCGAAGGTTTTTGGTCACACGTATTGTTGCCCCTGCTTGTGTACTGATGAGCCCCATCGAAATTGCCAGCATTTCACTGTGCCCTATGGGAACGCATTCTCGCTCTTCATCAACATCATGGAGACTAAAATCTGAAATAGGTTCACTACATTCATCCACTTTCTTCATCAAACTCTGTAATTCGCAATATATTCTCCCTGACCTCGGGTGGGATACATCCCCCGTCTCAAACACATGAATTTTGTTCCGAAGCTCTATCCAGCTATAAGCTTTTTTAGGTTTTAAACCCATGTCCCTTATAGTTTCTCTTACTCCATTGACCATGTCCCATTTTGCATTGTGAGCATACCAGTTTGACAGTAACACATAGTTATCTGCATTAAGAGGCTCCAAATCACAGAGCTGCTCAATGACCCGCTTTCCCGTGCTCTTGTCCTGGTGGATCCTGCACCCATCTAACAATGCTCTCTGAACCTCAGCATGCCGTGAAATCTGCCGTTCCTGAATAAAGGCTTTTGCCTCATCAAAAAGTCCTGCACGAGCTAGCAGAGCAACCAATAAAGCACAATGTGCAACCTTTGGTGTCCTTAGGCAGTTAAAGTAAAACCTTCCATTGTCAACCATGCGAGCAGTATAACAAGCATAGAGGACTGCAACATATGTGGTTTGATCTATTTCAATGCCTGAGGCTTTCTCCATTTCACGGAACAATTCAACTCCAAGATCTCCTCTTCCATGAACACTACAGCCCAATATCATCACAGTCCATGAAATTGCATCCTTGTCCTTCATCCGTGCAAATATCTTCAAAGCACATTCAATTGATCCTGATTTCACATACATGTCCATAAGAGCATTCTGCACTGTGAGATTCATGTGAATCCCATTTCTTAGCAAGCACGCATGAATTTCTTTTCCGTGCTTATGGGCTGCTATTCTTCCACAAGCTGGAAGGACGCTAGAGATTGCAGGTGCATCGGGTTTCATTCCCTCCATATTCATCTGCCTAAATAATTTCAAACTCTCATTGAATCCTCCGTTTTTCACATATCCACGAGCGATTTCAGTCCATGAAATGGCATCTTTTGATGTCATTCCATCGAAAACTGCACGGGCATCTCTTATACTGCCACAATCAAGGTACATTTTCAAGAGTGAGTTGCTCACCAATACATCAAACTCCAACCCACATTTCCTAGCAATCTGATGAGCATTTCTTCCCTCACGCAGTGATTTCAACAAGCCACAGGCACAAATAGCAGTGGTTAATGCCACCGGATCAATGCCAACCCCAGAGTCCACCATCTGATTAAAAAGATCAACGGCTAATCGGGGTTTATCTTCCTTCACAAACAAACCAACCAACAAAGTCCAACAAACTGAGTTCCTCTTGGGGGATTTATCAAACAGCCATTTAGCCGCATCAGCACCTTCAAGACGGCCATATAATTCTATTAGCGCCGTAGTTACATAGTCATCAGAAGAGAACCCGAATTTCAAAGCGTGCCCGTGGACCTGTTTGCCAAAGAAGAAGCTGCCCGAATGGCGAGAAGCAGCTAAAATTCGAGGCAATGTGTGCCGGTCAGGGCGAACACCTCGGAGCATCATTTGCCCGTAAGTCGACATTGCTTCGCCAAAATGGTTGTTGCCGAGATGAGTCTGGATAAGATTGTTCCAAGCAAATGTATCTGAAACAGGAATTTCATCGAACATTTGGTGGGTGTGCGCAGATTCCACGGATTTCACTACGGCATTGGGGAAGCAGGTAAGATGAATGAAGGGACGATTGAATTGGGTTGTTTGTATTGGTTTCTCAGTTCCGAAGAAAAACTTTATCTGCGTGGATGATGAAATCTTCACATCCATTTTTCAGTTGGGGGAGTACTTACTTTTTGTTTTTATAGTTGTGCTTTTGGGCAGCCCAAGACTGTTACCAATAGGAAATGAGTAGTTTAAACATCCTCAATGAAATTTGAGTTAGGGACACCATTCCCTGTTCACCACAGGCACAGAATAGGGAAATACAGATTTGGGTATTCAAGATTGGAGGTGTTAGATATATATATCTTTATATATGGGGCCCACATCCAATTATGTATGTTGAAAAGTTTTGAGGCTTATGGTATAAGCCTCTTCTTGTACTCGTTGCCCACGAAAGTTTTGCCTATAAATAGGCTTAATTGTGTACGGATGGTTTTGAGAAAAGAAAAAACAGAAAATAGCCTCTCTCTTTCTCTCACTCTAAAACTGTGTCTTAATTTCTCTTATATTATTACTCTCTCTCTCCCTATATATATATATATATATATATATATGCACATACACATATATTTATTACACGTTATCAGCACGAGCTCCATCCATTTCAGATTTGAAGAAAAAGTTTTCTCTCCCTCTTTCTCTCCCAACCATATATCTATGTTATGATATTAGTTTTGATGGATTGTTGGGTTGATTTGTTTTATCGAAAAAAATAATATTTTTGACTCCAAATGATAAGAAAATTTTAATTATAGATTATTATTCATTAAATAAATTTGTTCACTTAAATGATATATATGCTTACACTATGGTTGGTTCTACCACCTTTATTACTGATCCACTAATTATGATCGGTCTTACCATCTTTATTATTTAATGTTTTATGGCTGGTTTTACCGCCTTTATTGTTTAATAATTTATTTACTATGGCTGGATTGACCATTTTTATTATTTAAATAATTTATATTATGTTATTATTTCATTTAATGTCATTTTATTTTATGTACTATGCTAAATTATATTTTTATACTGTTGTCACATCTAGTTATGCTAAAAATGTCAAACTTTACAAAGCTGGAATTCGTGACCCAGGATATTTTTAGCAAAAATTATTTATCTTGGATTCTGGATACTCAGATCCATTTGGATGCCATGGGCCTTGGCGACACAATCAAAGAAAAAAATGATGCATCATTGCAAGATAAAGCAAAGGTCATGATTTTTCTTCGGCGCTATATTAGTAAGGAACTGAAAACTGAATACCTCACTGAAAGAGATCCACTTTATTTGTGGAACAATTTGAAAGAAAAATATGATCATAAAAAAACAGTCATCCTCCCAAAGGCCAGGGCTGATTGGCTGCAACTGAGGTTGCAAGATTTTAAAACTATGGCTGAATATAACTCTGCTCTATTCAAAATCAGCTCTACATTCAAATTATGTGGTGATACTGTAACTGATGAACTTTTGCTAGAAAAAACATTCACCACATTTCACGCCTCGAATGTACTCTTGCAACAACAATATCGAGAGCGTAGATTTAAAAAATATTCAGAACTGATATCATGTTTACTTGTGGCAGAGCAAAATAATGAGATTTTGTTGAGAAACCACCAGTCCTATCCAACTGGATCGACACCGATCCTTAAAACATATGTTGCCTCATCCCGTGGTCGTGGACGCGGACGTGGATGTGGTCGTGGTGGTAAAAATGGCCACAATAATGAATATGGTCGTGTTAAAAATAACTACCACAATAATGAATATGGTCGTGGTAGAAATCATTCTTATTACCGTGAAGGATATCAATCCTCACATTTTCATAATTAGACATCCACACCATATCCCTAAAGAAGAGATCATAATGAAATAAGACAAGTAAAAGGGAATGATGTGGCTCAACCTCCCAAAGCACATGATAATACTTGTTATCGGTGTGGCATGACAGGGCATTGGCAAAGTATTTGTCGTACACCTAAGTATCTGGCTGATCTTTACCAAGCCTTAATGAAAGAAAAGGGGAAACAAAAGGAAATGAATTTCCTTGATCATAATGAGCCAGTTGACACCACAAATCTGGAAATGAATTTCATTAATCATTCTGAGCCAGTTAACATCACAAATCTGGATGTATCAGATTTTTTTGAGAACCATGATGGAAGGATAGACTTCCTGATTGGTGATGGAAATGTCCACACCAATTAATCTTATTTTCTTTTCATATTCTATCTACTATGTTTTTATTTTCCTTGTATTAAAGTTTTTATCTTCTAGTTTGTATTAAAGTTTATTTTGTTATAAAAGTTTCTTTTCTGATAAAGAAATTTGTATGAATATGAATGGATCTGACTAGTTCCAAAATAAATGGAGAAGATATATGTCTTGCAGATAGTGGAACAACACATACAATCCTTCGAGATCAAAAATATTTTTCCCACTTAATTATGACAAACGTCAGTGTCAGTACCATATCAGATCCCACCAACTTGATTGAAGGCTCTGGAAGAGCCAACATCATTTTACCACATGGAACAAGATTACAAATCAATGATGCCTTATATTCTACAAGATCTCGGAGAAATCTGTTAAGTTTTAAAGACATGCGTCGTAATGGGTATCATATTGAGACCGCAAATAAAAGAAATGTGGAATATCTTTACATTACTTCCATTACCTCAGGCAAGAAGCTGATATTAGAAAAACTCCCTGTTTTCTCTTCTGGGTTATACTATACAACCATTAAGACAATTGAGTCAAATGCTGTGATCTATAAAAAATCTTGTGACCCAAAACTTTTTATACTTTGGCATGATCGACTTGGTCACCCAGGGAGTACAATGATACGTCGAATTATTGAAAATTCGCATGGACACCAACTAAAGGATAAAAAAAAAAAATCATCTTACCAAATAATCATTTATACACCGCCTGCTCACAAGGTAAGTTGATTATCAGACCATCCCCTTCAAAAGTCATTGTTGAGTCTCCCCCATTTTTACAACGAATTCACGAGGATATATGTGGGCCAATTCATCCACCCTGTGGACCATTTCGCTATTTTATGGTATTAATTGATGCCTCAACACGATGGTCACATGTTTGTCTGCTTTTTACTCATAATGCTACATTTGCTAGACTTCTTGCTCAAATCATCAAATTACGGGCACACTTTCCTGATTACCCAATTAAGATAATTCGTCTTGATAATGCTGCTGAATTTTCTTCTCGAGCTTTTGATGATTATTGCATGTCAGATGGAATTAATGTCGAACACCCTGTTACACACACTCATACTCAAAATGGTATGACTGAATCTTTTATTAAAAAACTTCAGTTGATTGGTCGTCCTTTGCTTATGCGAACAAAATTACATGTTTCTGCCTGGGGTCATGCCATTTTACATGCTGCATCATTAGTTCGTATACGACCAACTGCTTATCATAAGTACTCACCATTGCAACTTCTTTTTGGTCAATAACCAAATATCTCTCACATACGAGTTTTTGGTTGTGCTATATATGTTCCAATTGCACCACCCCAACGTACTAAAATGGGTCCTTAACGTAAACTTGGAATTTATGTTGGTTTTGATTCTCCATCTATTATTAGATATCTTGAAACCCTGACAGGTGATGTCCTTAAAGCACGATTTGTTGACTGTCATTTTGATGAGACTGTTTCCCACCATTAGAGGGAGAAAAGGCATAGCAGCAACGTGATCTTACTTGGAATGCCCTGAAATTGTCTCATTTTGATCCTCGTACAACCCAATGTGAACGAGAAGTTCAGAGGATCATTTACTTACAAAATGTTGCAAATCAATTACCTGATGCATTTACTGATACAAAGAAAGTGATAAAATCACATATACTAGCTGCAAATGTGCCAGCACGAACTACTGTCCCTGAGGGACCTTCTGTCAGTAATGTAGCAAATGTATCTAAAACACGCCTGAAGCGTGGCAGACCAGTTGGTGCAAAAGATACCGCTCCTCGTGAGAAGAAATCACAAAGAAAATTTGGCACTCCTGAAGAGGTCACAAAAGGAGCAATAGATATTATTGATCAATCTAATATAATAGCCTTTGATAAAGCAGAGGCTCTTGATGAGTCTCAAGTACTTAAAAATGATGAAATAATAAATATTGATGAGGCAAAAACAATAGATTTTGATATGGCCCTTGATGAGGCACATGCCCTTGATGAGGCAAAGGTACCTGAAAATGATGAGATCTCATTAAATTATGAAACGAGATGGAATAAAAATGAAATTGTTGTCGACAACATATTCTCCTATCTCGTTGCTCTTGATATTGATAATAAGGATCCGGAACCTCAAAACGTCGAAGAATGTCGACGAAGAAATGATTAGCCAAAATGGAAAGAAGCGATACAAGCAGAGCTAAATTCATTAGCTAAACGTGAAGTATTTGGAGCCGCAGTCCAGACACCTAAGGGTGTTAATCCTGTTAGGTACAAATGGGTGTTTGCACGAAAGCGTAATGAAAAAAATGAAATCGTGAGATACAAAGCTCGACTAGTAGCTCAAGGTTTCTCACAGAGACCTGGTATTGATTATGAGGAAACATACTCCCATGTGATTGATGCACCTACTTTTAGATTTATAATACATTTGGCAGTCACAGAAAGATTGCATATGCATCTAATGGACGTGGTTACAACATATTTATATGGATCAATAGATAGTGATATTTATATGAAAATCCCAGAAGGATTTAAAATGCCTGAAACAAAACCACGTAATATGCACTCGATAAAATTACAATGATCCTTGTATGGATTGAAGCAATCTAGACGAATGTGGTACAATCGCTTTTGCGATTACTTACTCAAAGAAGGGTATGTAAACAATCATATTTGTCCATGCATTTTTATTAACAAATCATAATCTGGTTTTGTTATTGTTGCAGTATATGTTGATGATCTGAACCTTGTGGGAACATTGGACGAGATCGAAAAGAAGGCCATTTATTTAAAGAAAGAATTCGAAATGAAAGATCTCAGAAAGGCAAAATTCTGCCTTGGGTTGCAGGTTGAACATTTTTCGAACGGTATTCTCATCCATCAATCAACATATACATTAAAGATTCTGAAACGTTTTCATATGGATAAAGCCCATCCATTGAGCTCCCCAATGGTTGTCCGATCACTTGACATCAAGAAAGATCCTTTTTGTCCTCGAAAGGATTATAAAGAACTCCTTAGTCTTGAAATGCCCTATCTTAGTGCGATTGGTGCTCTTTTGTATCTTACAAATTGCACAAGACCTGACATAATTTTTCCAATCAATTTATTAGCAAGGTACAGTTCTGCACCAACTCGCAGACATTGGAATGGAA